GGGGGTAGGAGAGGTCCGCAAGGCTGGCTTCCAAGTGGAAGGGTGTGAATGTCAAGCTCCCAGGTCCTGAAGGTGTCTGAGGAGGGTGCTGACGCACGTGTGTGGCGAGGGGAGGGGAGCCTGAGGGTGAAGTGCAGAGTCCCACGCACAGACGCAGGGAAGGTTCCCTGGACGGAAGGTGGAGTCTGAACAGGCTGGGACGAGAGGCTGGAAAGACGGATGTCAGAAGCCAGAGGGAAAAGTCTGCTCCAGCAGTCCCATCATAAATGAAGCATCTGCATGTCACAGAGGAGGAAACTGAGGCACAGACAGGCACCAGATTGCACAGCTAGCAAGTGAGGGAGCAGGATTTGAACCCAGCGCCTGATTGGCATAGGGGGTTGGGGAGAGCAAGAGGCATCAAAGGTCACACTCTCAGGTGTGAAGGCCACATCCTTTTCTGGATGGAAGGAAGGGAGGGAGGGAGGGAGAGAGGAAGGGGCCTTTGACTTCCATCAAGTAACTAGTGGGGGGCAGGAGGAGAGCGCCAGGAGGAGCTGGAGGCTCTGCTGGGGCTCTAGAAGTCCCTTGATCCTGTTTCCTCCAGGCAGTTCTGCTTTGGGGGGCTCCCAGCAATGGTGAACTCAGCACTCTGAGTAGTTCGCAGGCCCATAGGAAAGCTGGAGCGCGTGTGGCAGGAGCAGGCCTCAGTCCTGGCGCGGGGGGTCACCAGGCAGTGGATAAGGGCATAGATGGGGCGCCCCACCCCCAGGCTGGGCAGGCGGGAATCCACCCCAATCTGGGAGGGTTTAGGCCAAATCAGGCACAGCTGAGTCCTGAGGAACACATCGGCCTGGCCTGTAAAGTGTAAGCGAGCCATGGTGTTGACGCCGCCGAAGCCAGGCTTTCTGCCGGACAAACGCGGCCACGGCTACACAGGGCCTCCTCCCCATCTCATCCCCGTCTCCTTACCTCATCGGGGCCCCTCTGATCCCTGGAGACACCAGCCTGCCATCCTGGGGTGCAGGATACCCAGGTGGGGCCCTGGAGCCCGGGGTGGTGGGAGGCCCCTGAGCCAGTTCGCAAGTCTCCCCCCAACCCCGTGGGGGCCCGGGGTGCCTGGCTGGGTGTGTCCCATCCTGGGGCAGGGCCCTGGGATTGCTGGGCCTCATCCACTGTCCTCTCGGAGCCTCAGTTTCCTCTTCTGTGAAATGGGAACAGACACTTTCAGTGTCTGGATTAATGGGGATTTGGGGGGCGTGGCGGTCACCTGGTCACCAGCTTTTGGGGGTCTGTCTGTTACCCCAGATCCTTCCCAGAACGCCTCCCACACTGCATCACTTGACTTGTGTGAGCTGAAAAGGGACCTGCAGGAGCTCAGCCAGTTTCTGAAGCAGCCACGGAAGTCGAGGAAACGCCTTCCCTCCACTGGCCAGTGAGTGTGGCCAGACTGGGCTGCGGGGCTGGGATGCTCTTTCCACCTCCTTCTGGACTCCAAGTGAAACTGGGCCAGACCCTGGTGGCTGAGTCCCCAGATAAGCCCATAGCCTGCTTGCCTGCTTGCTCTGAGGCTTCCTCTCTCCCCACCCCACCCCTGCACGCACCTGCAATTTCCCTCTCTCGCCCCCAGCCCCTTCCCCTCTCCTGTGTCTCTTTCCCGTGTCTCTCTGAGTCCCCCGATCCGGGTCTGCCACCTGCCCGCAGTCAGCCACCTTCTCCCCCACTGCCAGGCAGCTGCAGAGCCTGGAGTCGAAGCTGACCTCTGTGAAGTTCACGGGGGACACGGTGTCCTTTGAAGAGGACAAGATCAACGCCACAGTGTGGAAGCTGCACCCCAAGGCCAGCCTCCAGGACCTGCACATCCACTCCCGGAAGGAGGTTAGGGGCCAGGGGCCAGGATGCAGCCAGCCAGGGCAGGAAGCAGCCAGCGCGGGATGTGGAGGGAGAGCTCACCCCTCCTCCAGGCCTCCGGGAGTCAGATGTGCGCTGGCTAGGCGGCCCCAGGCCTAGGAAGACCCCGGCCAGTGGCCTCCCCATGGCATACGTGGGGCAGGTGGGAGGGGGCCTGCTCCCTGCGTGTGCACCCCCATCTTGAGACAGCCCCTTGGGTGGACCTAGTGAGCTGAGAGTCACCGTCACCGCTGCTGCCACGGACCATGGCACCAGGGTGCTGTAGACAGACGGTGGAATGCCGTGTGATTCTCCCAGGCCTGTCTGCCCCTGGGGTCCTGGGTTCTCACCGAGGGTCCCCCACTGGAGCTGGTGCCGAGGGGAAGAGCGGGAAGAGGGGCTGGCTTTAGACAGGCACGGCTTCCTGAAGGAGCTGCGCTTAGTGCTGGCAGCCGCCCTGCAGGGGTGTGTGGGGATGTGAAGGGATCTGGCTGAGCCCTGAAGGGACCCTGGTTCGCAGGAGGAGCAGAGAGAGATCCTGGAGTACTCGGTGTTGCTGCCTCGCACGCTCTTCCAGGGGGCCAAAGGCCGCAGGGGGCAGGCCGCGAAGAGACTCCTCCTGGTGGACTTCAGCAGCCAGGCCCTGTTCCAGGTACAGTCCTCATGCAACCCCCGCCCCGAAGGAGAGACGGAGGGAAGGCGAGGAGCTGAGGGCCTTCTCCGGGAGCGGGAGCCTGCCCTTCGGGAGTCAGAAATTGGGCAAATAGCACGCACAGCTCCCTGGGAAGGGTCTGCAAGGTATTCTAACTAGAGTGTAAATGACTACACGTGCAAGAAATGTCTCCAGAGGGAGACTCGGCATCTTGGAGCCACGTTCCGAATCTGGCTTCTCAGCCCTGAGCCCCCTCCTTTTCCTGCCCCTCACCCCCCTTATCTAGGACAAGAATTCCAGCCGAGTCTTGGGTGAGAAGGTCGTGGGCATTGTTGTTCAGGACACCAAAGTGGCCAATCTCTCGAGGCCCGTGGAGCTCACCTTTCAGCACCAGCCACAGCCGGTGAGTGTGTGCCAACCAAGGACGTGGTCTGTCCTCCTTTCAGCCCCCTCTCTTCTGAATCACCTGTCTCTAACAACATGATGGCCAGTCAGGTCCAAACGGGTGGTATTTGGCACTGACTCGCGGCCTTAGCCTAGCCTGGACATGCTAACACCCTCTCTCCTCTTTTTGTCCCTACAGAAGAACATGACTCTCCAGTGTGTCTTCTGGGTTGAAGACCAGACAAGTGAGTAGGGAAGGGGCTCTATACTGGGCAGGTATCGGAGGAGAAAGGCGGACCTGGAGCAGGGAGGGTTGTGGGGTGAATCAGGGAGGGCTTCCTGGAAGAAGGTGAGCTTTGAGGGTGTGATGGCAGACTAGGCGTCTGCCAGGTGCCACAAGGCTCACAAGAGTGGCAGGCCTTGTATTTGGAGGAGGAGGGTGTGAAGAGAGGTTCTAGGGGAACTGGGCTTGATCAGAGCCCCACGCTCTCGCCTCCTCAGTGAACGGCTCTGGGAGCTGGAGCGACGCCGGGTGTGAGACTATCAGGAAAGAGACGCAGACGTCCTGCTTCTGCAACCACCTGACCTACTTCGCCGTGCTGATGGTGAGCGTCCCTCCACCACCCCTCCCCACCCCACTGCCCCCCACAGGCCAACCTCTTGCTGTGGCCTGCCACTTTGCAGAGCGTGGCTTTCCTTCCTCCCAACTCCCTGCCCTGGGAGTTTTCTTGTTTCATAAGTACAGAAATTGAGCTCAGAGAAGTTAAGTGATTTACCCAGCGTCAAGCTAGTCAATGAAAGAGTTGGTCTCTGAGTTCTTGCTTCGGGTTCCTAAATGGGTGTGTGATGAAACCCAGATTCCTGGTCCTAACTTAGGATTCTGACTGCACCAGCTGGGAGGGGCTGGCACAGGGGTGCGTTTCTAAGAATCCCCCAAAGAGATGCTGAGTGTGGGGCCCCGAGGTGGGCTTTAGTGCCCCCAGGAGCTCTCAGCGTTTTTGTGCTGGTTTCACGTTCCCAGATCGTAGGAGCCCAGTATCTAGGGACCAGCGTGGCCTTTCAGCTCTCCCAGTGGTGTGCCGCTGTGACTTGAATACCCCTGGGTACAGGGAGCTCACTCCCTTGCAGGAAACCTATTCCTCTGTTGAATGTTAAGAACAAGAGAACAATAATTAGTGCCAGCACAGAAAAGGGGTGCTCTGGTGCATGGTTCGTTGATCAGGGAGCGCCCCTAAGAAGCGGGTGATGGGGACACCTACTTCGTTTTGGAGGGTGCTTCATAGACTCCCCGGTGCCAGGGGCTAGTCCCAGTCTGGGGCAAAGCGTGCTGCAGACTTAGGAGCAGACGCCTGACCTGTCTCGCGGGCCAGGTCTCCTCCGTGGAGCTGGACGCTGTGCACAAACACTACCTGACCCTCTTCTCCTACGTGGGCTGCGTCATCTCCGCCATGGCCTGTGTCCTCACCATCGCCACCTACTTCTGCTCCAGGTAGGACCTGGGAGGGGCCGTTGACAGGGAGGGGCCTGGGCTGGGAGACTGTGAGACACACCCGGAGACTGGCCCTGAAATGCTCGCAGGATTGGGAAGAACTTGGGGTGCATTTCCTCTTTACGTAACAGCATGTGCAAATTGTACTAACTGCCAGTGGTTAGAGTCAGCAGAGTTGACATAGAATAGTAATCTATTAATCAGGTGTACCCCCCTGGAGATGCATAACCACATGGTCACGGCACGTACAGACCGTGGCCCCACACACTGCTAAGCACTTCACATGCTTGAACTTGTTTGGGGTGTGTGTGTGTGTGTGTGTGTGCGCGCGCATGTGTCTCTGTGTGTACTTATTCCAGGAGGGCTGCCTGGAAGAGGAGTGTGCACTCCTCCCCCATCCCTACTCAGGGTTTTTCTGGCAAAGTGTGGGTTCTCTGCCTGCCCTGTGCCAGGGAAGCCAGAAACGGCAGCGGACGGGGGTTGAGCCTTTAATAGGCGCTTTGACTAGACGGCACTTCCAGCCTCTCCAAGCCTGGTGCCCTGAGCACCCGCAACCCCTCATCTCTCACTGGCTGTTTACAGCAACTTAAGCAAAGACAGTTATCGGTGAGGGGCCTTCACTCCAGGCCGCTGACAACTTCCAGTGGGGGGAGGTTCAGGCGCCCCCACCCGCACCCCAGCAGCCCCCCTGCAGGCTTCTGGGTTTAGGGCCTTCTCTCTGGGAGGTTCGGCTCTGACAGACACGGCCCCACCCTCTCCCGGGCGCCTGGACTGGGAAGGCGACTCGGAGCCCGCAGGGCGGCAGACACGTGTGGGGGCAGGTGCCTCCACTCGCGGTGCCCTCTCGCCCCGCCCCAGCCCCTACGAGTGTGACCTGCTCTCCCGCCCCCTGGGCAGGAGGAAGTCTCGGGACTACACCATCAAGGTACACATGAACCTGCTGTTCGCCGTCTTCCTGCTGGACGTGAGCTTCCTGCTCAGCGAGCCGGTGGCCCTGTCAGGCTCCGTGGCCGGTTGCCGGGCCAGTGCCATCTTCCTGCACTTCTCCCTGCTCGCCTGCCTCTCCTGGATGGGCCTTGAGGGCTACAACCTGTACAGGCTCGTGGTGGAGGTCTTTGGCACCTATGTCCCTGGCTACCTGCTCAAGCTGAGCGTCGTGGGCTGGGGTGAGTCGCGGGAGGGTGCCGGCGGGCCCCTCACACCCGGTCCAACATGGCTCTTGGCACGTGGTTCCAGTCTCTCTCCACCTCTCTGATGGTTCCCTCAGTGTCCTTCACCTACCCTCTCTCAGATGTTCCAAACCCTGGATAGGTCACGGTCCCCTTGAGGAGGATGAGGCAGGGGCCTCTGTCCCCAAGAAACACCTCCACCCCCTCCACGTTGCTCACTCCCTCAAAATGTGTCTGTGGGGAGAAGGTGTGGGAAGAGCCGCCAGGTGTGGGTGTGCGGGTTGTGCCCTGCTCAAAGGTGCCCATGTCCTCGGCTACCCTTGTGCTTGGCCAGTGACCACTCGGTTCACCTGGGCCCAGACCTCTCTCATGTGGGGCCTGGAGGTCCAGGGGCTCACCCCACACACGACCTTTTGGACACTTCATCACCAGCCTCCCCACATCCCTCACTCCAACTTGCTGCTCCTCTCGTATCCCTCATTCAGCCTTTCTGGTCCCCTCTGTTGATGTACATGGAATGCCTTCGAGTAGGCTTAGCTTCGAGGCCTGGGTGCTGTCAGTGGGTGACTCTCTCTAGGGAGCTCTTATTCTCTACCACTTGGGTGAGGTCAAGGCCCAGGACATATATCCCTGGAGGGCAGAACTCTGGACACCCCCTCGAACAATCCTTGCATCCCACTTCTGTCCTGTGTGCTCTCCCCATCTCCTGTGACAAGACCCCCCCAGCAGGGAGCTGCAGGGCCCTGTCTAAAAGGCCCTGGGGAGGGGCCGGGGTGGGCCAGGCAGCCGGGGCTGCTCATGGGAATCCCAAGCTGGAACAGGAGTAGGCGCTGCAGCTTGGCAGACCTGCTCCACTTGGGGCCGGGTGGGCTCCAGGGGCCCAGGCCTGGCGGGGGTCTGGCCAGAGAGCAGGGGAGGGCAGGCTCTGTGCTCGGGTGGGCTCGAGCGCCCTGCCTGGCTGCCCACAGGCTTCCCCATCTTCCTGGTGATCCTGGTGGTGCTGGTGGATGTGAACAACTACGGCCCCATTATCCTGGCTGTGCATAGGACTCCGGAAGCTGTCACCTACCCTTCCATGTGAGTCTGGGGGGGCAGGAGCAGGGGTCTGGGGTGCTTGGCCTAGGCCCATCTCGCTGGGCCCATCTCGCTGCCCGGGAGATGCCTGGGTCCTGGGCTGCCGGGGGAGCCTTCTCTGCCCCCACACACTGGGCCTCCTTGCACAGGACCTGGCCCTTCTCTGGGCCTCAGTTTCCTCACTGGGGAGTGGGAGGGGAGCAGATGAACTCCAGTGTGCTCTCCATCCACATGGAGCCCAGAGAGGGGTGATTAGACCATACAGCTCAGGGACACCCAGCAGGGGTGAATGACAGAGCCTGGACTATGGGTCCCCCCAAACCTAGACTGGAGCCCAAGATCCCCAACCCCCTGGGCTGGGACGAAATCCTCTCAATTGCCTCAGTGTTTTAACATTTTCAGTCCTTTTACATCTTGACCTTATTTTTGCTTGCTGTTTGGATCATCTATCTGATTATCGATCTCGTTTATTTGTCTTGAAATGGCCTAGCTTAATACATTTTCAAACGTGTTAACTGACATTTTAAAATGATCTCAATGGGGTAAGTCAGGGACAAGCCTCCCTTGTCATAAACAGTGGGTGTGACCAGACCAAGAAAGTAAAACACAGACAAGGAAAACCCTGTCGCTAAATACTAGCCGGTGGCTCTGAGCCTCGGGCTGCTCTTTGATGGACAGAGATTACACAGTTTCAGGGGCTTGAAAAACACTGGCAGCACAATCGGCCTCTCCCGGGCCACAGGGAAGGACTACGTGGTGTTTAAAGCTGCCTTGGAAGTGGGGTCCACATGGTGCGCACCCACCCCCTGGCCGTGCCAGGCGGCCCCGCTGCGCCCTGACCCCAGCCTCGCCCGCAGGTGCTGGATCCGGGACTCCCTGGTCAGCCACGTCACCAACCTGGGCCTCTTCAGCCTGGTGTTCCTGTTCAACGTGGCCATGCTGGGCACCATGGTGCTGCAGATCCTGCGGCTGCACCCGCACGGCCAGAAGTGGCCCCACGTGCTCACGCTGCTGGGCCTCAGCCTGGTCCTCGGCCTGCCCTGGGCGCTGGTCTTCTTCTCCTTCGCTTCTGGTACCTTCCAGCTTGTCGTCCTCTACTTCTTCAGCATCATCACCTCCTTCCAAGGTAGGCGTGGAGAAGACCGTGACCCTGGCCGTCCGTACGTGGGGGGCCAGATGAAACCCTGGGGGGAGTGAGAGGGTCCAGGCAACCTGGAGGCTGTCCTTCCCTGGGCCGCAGCCCTGCCCATCGGACAGTAGAGGCCTCCAGACCTAGTCCCTTCCTGGTCTGTGTGACCCCTTTATCGCTGCCTCCCACACTGCACACACGCACCACACACACACACACACACATGCCGTGTTGGGAGGAAGACTTGGGCACACAACAGGGAAGGCCAGGCCAGGCCCAGGGCCCATGGCAGGGCTGCCAGGACAGCCTCCCACAGAGGGTCCTCAAGTAGCCGGAGTGGGGGTGAAGGAGGTGTTTTCTCTTTTGTGAAATGAAGAGAACTTTGTATGTTCCCCTACAAAGGATGCCCAGAAAGTCACACAGACATTTACTGAGCTCTTAAGAAACAATGTTAGCGTCCTACTACAGGAGGGCCCTGGAGCCAGGCCGTCACCAGACTCCTGGCTCAGCCGAGTCCCCTCACCTCCCTGGGCCTCAGTTTCCTTGTTTGTAAGGCAGAAGAGTCACGGCGAGGCCTGAGCACGTAGGAACCTCTGGAGTGAAGTGAGCTAGTGGGCAGTGGGTTGCACAGGGCCTGGGCACAGCACCCCAGGGTCCCCTCAATATGGGCCTGCACGGAAGAGGGCAGGTGGGAGCCGGTAGGACTCAAAGGGGTGCGGGGGGCTGCCCCCAGTCTGCTGACCCCTGTGCCCCTCACCCCCACAGGCTTCCTCATCTTCCTCTGGTACTGGTCCATGCGGCTGCAGGCCCGGGGCGGCCCCTCCCCTCTGAAGAGCCACTCGGACAGCGCCCGGCTCCCCATCAGCTCCGGCAGCACCTCGTCCAATCGCATCTAGGCCGCCACACCTCATGGCGAGAGGAGGCAGAGACCTCGTTTCACCATTGCCCGCGGGCCCCATGGCGGGCCCTGGCCCATCAACCAAAACCTTGAGGCCCAGGGTAGTCAGCGGGCACCAGTTGTTGCCATGGTGACCAGATTCCCAGGTTTCTGAATTGGCTTGGGGACCACTCCGCTCTCCGGTGGAGAACCTAGGCGGACACTGGGGAGCTGAAGTTGGGCTTAATGTACCTTCTACTGGGCCCTTGTGTCTGGGGGCAGGATCCTGCGACCCCCAGGGGCAGGCCTTGACTGAACCCAAGACCTTTGGCCTTTGTCAGATCCTGCTCCCTTCCCCTTTCAGACCTCCCTTCCCCTTCCAGACCTCCCCCGTCTGCTCCCTTCCCCTTCCAGACCTCCCCCGTCTGCCCTCCCCTCCCTGGGCCTCCCTAACCCTTGATTCTTAGCTGGGGCCCCCAATTCCAATACTGTATTTGGATGGTGATTCCCAAGAGTCACCTGGTGTCGGTGGTTAACCTTTATTGCTGCACGGGCCTTTACTGGGCCAGGCCCATCTGCCCACCTGGGCCTCTCTATAAGCTGCGTCAGCTTTGCTCTCCACTGCCAAGCCCACATCTCACAGGGGTCCTCAGCCTCCCTGAGGCCCCTTGTCACGAGAACTGTGACATGGAGCATTCCTGAAGCCATCCCAACACAGCGAAGACTGAGACACGCCTGCTCTGCAACCTCAGCCTTAAGCCCTGTGCGCTCCTTAGGGGCCTACAGTCTGGCCTCCTATACACGCAAGCCCATCACAGCTGGTGTTGTTGAATCCAGGTTTGGGGCTACAGACCAGGTTGCTCCCCTCTGAGCTCTCAGTAGTGTTCGAGGCTTGCATGAGACAAGAACTCCTGGAGCTGCAAATGAGGGGTTAGTGGAAGCGGCCATCCAGGCTGGAAATCCATGAGGGTGTCTTTTAAGAGGCCACACTGGACCTGGATCTGAGTCTTAAAGATGGGGTGGATTTTCTTTCTTTTCGAGAACTTTCTTTTTAATGATCAGTTCATCTTTTGATATTCAAGAGAAGTTCGCATTTGTCGTCCAGTTCTTGGAAACTGTAGAAGAGTATACGGAAGAAAATAGAATCAACTGTTGTTATCGTCTAACAAAGTGATGGAAACATTTTGGAGTATTTTGTGAGTTTTTTTTTTTTTTTTTTTTCCTGTGCTTCTGTTTAGATCGCTAATACAAACACCTGGGATAGTCAGGAAACTCCAACTGCTGGAAAATGTCAGCTAGAGAAAGGGGGAGGAGAAATGGCCCCTCAGCTCAGTGCGAGGGAGGCAATAGAGAGAGATGGGGCTGTGGGGTCTGTGGTGAGCCACAGAGTGAAGCCTCTGCTTCTCAGCTCCTGCTGGTCCCTGCCTTGCAGGATGAGGGGGCGGGGAGCCAGCCTGCTTGCCCTTAACAAGAAGAAATTCAGTGTGACAGTGTAAAATCCCCCATGGAAAAATTTCAGTGAATGGAAAACATTCCCTGGCCAAAGATACCACATTTGAGGACTGAGTTCAGGTGTTGCCAGGCACATGGCATGTGTTACTAGTTTACTGACTTGTGTGAAGTGCATGTGGGTGAAGAGTAGAAAATTTAGGTTGGGGGCATCACAGGACCAGAAACTGGAGGTGAGGGTAAACAGGATTTACATGGATGTGGAACCAGCTGGAGAGGTGAAGGTCACAAGGCTGTAGCTGGCCTTGGGTTTGCAGAAAGAGCCCGGATGTGGAATGGGGGTGGGGGTGGGGTGTTGTAGAGAGTCACTAGTCCTTTCAAATAGACCTAGGCACACCCTGGAAGTAACTTAACAACAGATAAGGGACAATTCTGCAAAGGAATGAACCCCTCCCCCGAGGAAGGACTCCCAGCAGCTTCTGCTGGCCAGAGGCAGCTCTCCTGCCTCCCCTCCAGGTATTTTTTTGCACCCAGGTGTTTCTTTTCACCAAGCTCTTCCTTTTGCCAAGCTGCAGCCCCTCTCGTGGCCACCTGAGACTATGCAGGTGTTTCTTTTTTTGTCTCCTTTTCCTAATAAACCTGCCTTTTCCGAATGTAACCTGAGTCTGTACAAACACCTTCATCTCCTGGATCTCCGGCCACATGCTGAAAGGGGCACTCTGCTGAAGCTTTCTCAGGGAACCCAAGGACCCGGCTCGCTGAACCCCACACCTCTTCAAAGCCACGTGTCAGGTGGGCTGTGAGACTGCCAGGGTCCAGCCAAGCTCCCGTCCCAGCGAGACACAGGGAGGCAGAGCTGCTAGATCTCTGTCCCCTTTCATTGCTGCCTGTGCCCAGGTCTCAAGGTCCAGGGGCACCCCTCAGGGGTCTGGAGCTGCCTGCCCTCTATGGTTTCCTCTCCTGACGCCCTGTGGGCTGGGGGAAGGGGCCAGGCGAGCTGACGGGATGGACAAGAAGCTGCTGAGGCAGCCAGGGAGGGGCTGGCAGGGACCTCAGCATATGGGGTGTCCCTGCACCCTGCCTTTCCCCTCCCTCCCCCCTTCTGCTCCTTCTTCCCTCGGGCCCTGCCTCCACCTTTCTCCAGTCCTGAGGACAGAAAGCAAGCCTCAAGGTGCCCCCACCCCCACTTCACCCCCACTGGCCTGCTCCAGGGAGCCAGTCCCTTTCTCAGACCCCTCAGTCTCAGGGGGAACCCTGGGGAGGGGGGGCGAGCCCCGCTTACCTCCCTCCACCTTCAGGGAAGGAAGGACAGGCCCTTCTCCCAGGCAGAGTGAGTCCCACAAGCAAACTCTCCCACTTTTAGGGACTCTCCCTGACGGCTCCTTTCTCTTTTTGAGGCTGCTCCGGTGGGGAGGGCTCTGAGGTTGGATCTTCTCTGAACAGCCCTGGCCAGGTGTCCTGCAGCTCCACCGTATCCTTGACCCTGATGCCCCTCAGGATATCACTGGGCTGTGGGCCCCACTGTTGCCAGCAGGACCTGACTGGAGATAGCCCCAGCGGGGGGATGAGAGAGCAGAGGGGTGAAGGCCCCCTGGGCCAGGGTAGAGGACTGGAGGCCTCACCCCTGGAACCTGGCGCCATTAAGACTAGCCTGGGGGAGTGGCTTGGTTTGCCCTGGGATTTGGGGGTCCCGGGGCTTCTGTAAGTGGTTTAGGCTCATTCCAGCCTGTCTGGCTTGAGGGTAGGGGTTTACCCTGACACTGCCCGCTGCCTCCCACAACCCCCGTGCCATCCCCTTCCCAGTGCCCATGGTCCTGTCTTCCCAAGTGTGCTGGGTACCCAAGGGAACAGACCCCAGGCCCGTCTTCACTAACAGCCACCGAGAGCCCGCTGAGGGCACCAGGACAGGATCCAGTGGTGGGTCCAGGCTGGCACAGTTCCCAGAGCCCTTGCCCACCACCGCGTCTCACCCCGGCGGGCAGCTGGGGGGCCATGTCGGCTGGCAGAGGCTGTGGAGCGGGAGGGCCAGGCCCTGTGGTTCCCATCTGTCCCTGAGCTTTTCCCGCAGAGGAAGTACCTGGGCTCCATTCCTACCTGCTGCCCATACCCCCATGAGTGACCCCAACACCCCCTCTATAATTGTCCCCAGGCCCAGAGGGCCCAGCAGGGGGCTGAGACTGTCTGGACACTGTGTGAAAGGAAGGTGAAACCGGGGCCCACCAGACTGGGCAGCGGGCTCGGGCCTGTGGGGCTGCGAGGTGCTGGCGACGACGCACCACCTTGGCGGGGTGCCCTTCACCTGGCCTCGCGGCAGCTGTGGGACACACCTCATCCGCGTGTTTCCCTTGGCGCCACCAGGGCTGGGGTACTTGTGGTCAGTTCCATTTCTCTCACGCCGCACCCCATGTCTGCCTGCTGCCCCCACTTCCCGACAGCTGTCAGTCACTGCCGGTGCTTTCTCAGTTCTGGCGATCGTAAAACAGCAGCGGTGGGAATAGCTAGCTGGCTGACCCAGCAGTTTGTCTTCTCCATGCGCCTGGTGGGAGAGTAGAAGCTACAGCCCCGCTCAAGTTCACCTGACCTGCAGTTAGCCAGGAGAATCACGGCCCTGGCCTCACCACCCCGGGGCCCAGGCCACCCCTTCTGCCACCACACCTCTCCCTTTCCGGCCTGGAAGGGGAGCCCTGGGCTTGCAGAGCAGTTCCTGCTCCTGCCAGGCCGCCAGCGGGCACAGGCTTGAGCCCGCCTCATTCAGGCCTGAGCGCCAGGCTCCCTCCTCCCAGCCTGTGAGCAGAGCATGTCCCTGGCATTGTCAGGGCTTTGGTTTCCCTTCTAGATAGAACAGCACGGGACTGAACCTGGACCCCACTTGGTGATTTGTAATACTGGTATTAGCTGCCAGCATTTGAAACTCAGACTCATGAACGAGGGTGCGTGAACCCCTGGTGCATCTTCATCCTCACCCTGGCGGCGGCCGTGAGTGCAGGTGTGGCGTCTTGTCAACCCCCAACATGGCAAGACCCAGGGAGGCCCCCTGCTTTTGAACTAGGTACCCTGATGCATGACTGGCTTTCATCACCGCCCCCCAGGGGTGTTTGTGGAGGCCCCTGCAGCTGCAGAACCCCAGCCCCTCAATACCCACCCACTGGAGCCCTGGGAGAGAGCTGGGTGGGTTTGGCCGCTCCTACAGTCTGGCTTCCTGCGACGGTGTTCAGAGTGGGGAACAGGAGGCGCACCACCCAGCTCCCCACATCCCCATTTCACAACCCCAGCGATGGTCACCATGGAGCAGGAAGGGAGCAACCACAGGAAGCGGAGATATGGCTGGGGGTGGTGCAGCCAGCGGGGGTGGGGACAGAAGCAGGCCGCTGGTCAGGGGCCCTCAGGATGCACACTGCAGAGCTCGCAAGGCTGCGTGGCTGGCCATGGCGACACCCCGGGCCCCCCGGGTCCGGCTCCTGCTGCTCCTCCTGCTCAGCGCCTCAGGTGAGCGCTGGCTCCTCAGCCTTTTGGCCAAGCCTGGGAGACCCCAGGGTGGGGACTGGGAAAGGCCAGGAAGCGGAGGCGCCAGGAACCTGCCCTGTCCTCCGAGGAGCCCACCTCACGCCCGCGGCACCAACCCTTACTGCTCCCCGTCACTCCCATGTCCTGAAAAACTTCAGCAGATGCTGGGTCTCAGCCCCATTTGCTTCCTCCCATGCCCTGGAGATGGGGGTGCATGACAAGTGTCCCCCCCCCCGACCCTCAGTGGCTTCTTGACAGGCCTGGCATAGGCTAGACCCCGGAACTCCTGGGAAGCAGCCAGAACCCTCCTTGCACTGAACTCCTTCCTGCTCCCCCTTGTCTGGCCCCCAAACTTCCCAGTGGCTTCCCTCTCCCTATCCCAGCAATAACCCCACCATCGCCAGAGCCGCCCCTGCCCACCCTTGTACCCACCAGTGGGGGTTAGGAACACCCATCTTGCCCATGCTGTCTTCTCCTGCAGGAAAGCCCTCCCCAAGCGTGGCCCTCCTGGCCAGCTTATTCCCCTTCGTGTCTACTCTGGGACATCTGCCGTGATCCTTTCAGGTGGGAGGAGGTGCTCTGTGTTGGGTGCTTCCATCTCAGTGTCTCATGTTCTTCCTACCTTGCTCTGTGCAGCGAGCAGGCAGCAGTGAGCAGCCTCGTGGTGTCTGCAGCACTGGGACCCTGTGGCACACACATGGGTCAGCTCTTTGGGCTCCAGAGAACCCTATGCAGATGCTGGGAGACTCAGTGACGTGCAAAGTTCAGTTGTGGCTGCATGACCGAGCTGTCCCCTTGGTGGCCTGGGGAGGATCTAAGGCAGAGGAGGCCATCAGGGGACACTCAATGAATTAATTTCCTTAATAAGCAATAGGATATCATTGGTAGCAGCACAAGGATATGGGGCCAACATAAAACTGAAGTTCTCTGGTTGGGCCTTCAAGGCTCCTCCGAGTTGACCCAATATTGATGTGGGGGCTCCTGGTAGAACAAGGCCTTTGTCCTGTGCATCATGTGGGGAGCCTGCCTTTGGGGATGGCTGTGGGCTAATGGTCATCCATCCCCTTGTTCGTTCATCCACCCACCCACCCA